TATTTAAATCTGCATTTAAATATACAACTCCTATTGATAGTAATTGTAATACTGTATGCTTAAGAATTCCCAGCACTACTATTGAATGACTTGCTATTTAATCCATGTATTAAATTTAGCAGCATACTACTTTCTCGCGGTTATATCACTAATACAGCAATACTAATGCTGATTTTTAAAACGTGTAACTGGTTCCCTTGTAAAATAGATGGAACAAAAAAATTTGCAAGATTGCAAGTAGTCTTGATAGCATTTTCTTTTCACCTTTTTTTTCAAACAAAATTCAGTAGTTGCCAGACACTAGTCATCTTCTAAAACTAACATTTATAAAACTGTCTGCAGAAAAACATATTTTATACTCGAATATGAATGCGGTCTTTATTTTCTTTTCCACTGTCTACTTTATTGGCAAGTATGTAAATATTTCAGTAAATATTATACATCTGCAAACACTGAATACAGGCAAGGGAAACTATTCCAAGTACATTTATAAGCTGTTGCTAAATGAAAAAAGTTGGTGTTTTAAATTAATGTTACGAGTTTTCTCTTATTATGAAAATGAGATATTCAGATTATTGTAAATGAGATATTGATTACATTTTCTCCTTTACCATTATGTAGGGTTTTTTTTTAAATTAACACTTAAGACAGATTAAGTGCTACCCTTTCGTGTAGATATGGCTATAATAGTTAACAGTTGAATTCCTACAAACCTCTATGAAAGCCATAGCTTTTAATAAACATTCCAAGCCCTGTGTTTACTTAAATAAACTCTCTAGGTTTCTGCAGGACTTTTATGATTCTCTCAAAATTATAAGAAAGTGGATCTTTTTGCTTGAATATGATATGATCGCAAATGACAATTTCACGCAAACATCAATTCAAGAAACGGTGAAAGATTTTTTTTAAAGGTGAATTTATCATAAAGCTGAATATTGTAAGAAGGATCAAAGGACAAAATTAATAATTTTAAAAAGAATATATCTGTTTTGAAGATTAAACCTGACAAAGCTGTTTGTCAATTTGCACCTTTATTTAGACTGCCAATTGTCCAAACTACCCTTCAACAATCCTGGTGTATAGACTACAAGTGGCATTACCTCAGATTATAGGAAATAGGCATCCATCCTAAAAAATATGGTTTTAGAAACTATGGTATATGGAGCCTGCAAAGTGACTATAGCAAAAATTGTGTGTGCTATCCCGCAGATGTTTTTTTTAATGGTTTTTAATGATTTTTCAGGTATGTTTTATTTTGCTCTATTGTTTTTTTTTTTTTACCTTTGTATATTCCTAGAATCACACATGTAAGATGGGTGGCTATATGAATTAATTAAATGTAAGTAAGTAAGTAAGCAAGCAAGCAAGCAAGCAAGCAAGCAAGCAAATAAGTCACTAATCAATATCTGATATTGTGCGTGCTATGTTCTTTCTTTGAATAGCACCCTTCCCGAATTTGACTAACAACAGTCCTGATAGGAGTTAGAAAAACTATTAAGCCCTGGATATTCCAGCAATCATCTGCAGAATTATGTGCTTGGATCTTTTCTTCTGTCAATAGTGGGTTTGTTCCACTATTGTCCCATTTGAGTGTAACATCCCTAAATTTGTTGATATGACTTCAAAAAATGCAATGTTTTAAGGGCGTGGATGTGATTCTGAATTGCATACCCCAAATTTGGAATTTACTATTATGGGAAAAAGCATAGATTCACTGAGCATAGAATATAGTCACCCAACTCCCACCCTCCAGTACAATGGAAAGATGCCGCAACTCTGAATTTACAATCTTGTATTGATAGGTGTTTGCTTTCTACTTTCAAAGTAACTCCTTGTTAATGTAAACACTGATCAACATTATTCAGTTGACTCATTGCTGTATAAAAATATACAGTAATATGCAAAAAGAACATGAATAAATGATTAATTAAAAGGTTTAAGTGAGTGCAAACAATTGTCAAAACAATGAATCAGGTGACAAACAAGACTCTCTAGAAAGGGTATTCTAAACCTGTAGGAGAGGGCACCACTGAAAAAGACCTGATTGTGAGCAAATCCTGCCAAACCATTTCACGGGGAAGCTCTGGGAGCTGCCCCTCCAAGGTTTATTGTAATGTTTGGGTAAAAGTGTCTGGATACATTGTTCTTGAACATAGTGTGATTCAAGGCTCAAACATTTATAAGTTACTACCAGCACTTCAAGAACTGGGCTGGTACCTTGGCATTAAGAATCTCTCTTGTAATACTGATCTATTGCCTTTTAGTTAAATTCACTTGTTACTAATTACAAGTTTTACTTCCTCTTATCTCCAGTAGCTTCTAGAACATAGCTGTGTCTTATTTTGTGTCTTTAGTTATCCATGCTGCAGTATGAAAAACAAGAAAAGATTTGTCCCAAAAGTGAGTGACACAATAAGTAGTGTCCTCTGAGTTTAAACCTTTTTAATTCTTGTGCATTAGATTTACATTCTATCTTTTTTTCTAGAAGCTCAGAGTAGAATTAACAGATGTCTCCCCTCCTCTTATCCCCATAATTGCCCTGTGAGATGGGCTGAACTGAGAGAATTTGAAGCCACCAATGAATTTTCATGGCTAAAGATGGATTTAAGCCCGAATCACCCATTGTGTGATTTCTTCTGGGTGAGGAGAGGGCGAAGCTGATTATATACATATTAAATATCTAATTTAAAGAAGGCTATTTAGACTTGTTTATTATCAAATTCCTGAGGCAAGCTCTATCATTTTCCATTATTCTGCATTTTTAGATGAGATAATTGAGCAAGCAAATCCCCACCTTAATTTCTTACCCATTTAAGGATACTGTACAAGAAAGTTCAGAGACCTGCAAGTGTTTCTTCAAGGTTCACAAATTGTAATTCTTTTGGGGGAAGTCCTTTCCATTAATGTTTATCTCTAAGATAAAGTACATGTAAGCCTGGAATTCTAAAGCAGGGCGTTCAAGAGTGAGGCAGAAAAGGGGAGATTGGAAAGCGAACAAAGATGAGTTCCAAAAATGGAAAAAAGGAAATCAAACGAAGACGGTTACTTTTTCTTCCTAGCACTACCATTTTAAGAGCAGACTAAATTTATTAACTGTCTTTTAATTGTACCATAAGTAAAATAAATACTGTGACATACTTGGACAAATACACTATTAGCACAAAATAAGAACTCTTGTAGTCTTATAACAAAGATTAATAGGCTTGCTAAATTGCAGTTTCCTAATTTCAATTCAACAAATGTTCTCATACTACAAAAATCTGAAAAAGCATATTTTATTCCAATAAAACAATTTAAAAGAGAATGCTATTTAACATTTAAATTAGCAAGTTATTATTTATTTCCATTAAATGTTTATGAAGATCTATTAAGCAACTTAAAAAAAAAGAAGAAGAAAAAATAAAACAAAATGATAAATTAGGGTTTAGAGATGTCAGAGAGGATATAATTTTCCAACAAAACATTAATTAATCTATCTATATAAATAAAAATGTAAATGTTCGTTTGTTCAAAATCTTAAATCTCCGAAATTTCTTCACCGATTGCATTCGAATACGCGCGTGTTTTTATATACCTACTATTATATAGATGTCACACCTGTGACAGGTAAAAACATGCTTTTTTTGAAAAACAGCGCCATCTGTTGGCTGAGTGAACGAGAGCCACAGCAACGCGTGGCCGGGTACAGCTAGTTACTAATAAATAACTGAATGTGTTACACAGTATAAATCACTTGCTAAAACTGTAGACGATGATGAATTCAATGCACATTACTTAAAATCTGTTCTAAATATCTTGTAAAATGAAATACTAACTTTACACAAAAAAACCCCTAAATATTGGATATAGTACAAATCCGTGTCTTAAATTGTAGTCTTAGAATGGTTTCCAGTTTGAATTCTGCATCAGACTTACTTTTAAAGAAGAAAGTTATTTTGGACATCAAAGCCTAACCTATATCTTAGTGAGCCATTCTTCCACAAAGGGGATCAAACCATAGAACCTGCCATAGAAAGGACATAACATTCTTGCAGCAGTGCACTCGCTGAAGCATATCTGAAGCTATTCCATCCCAGCACATACATTTGTATCACACACAGTACCATGCAAGTACTCAAAGGAAAAAATGAGGAAATAACCCCAGCATTTAGCATCTTTTTCATCAATTCTAATTTATTTAATTTATTTATTTGCTGCCTATCTCACCTTGACATAAAGTATGTTTATTATGCTTACTATTACCATTATGCATAAACGGAGACAAATCCCAATACTCACACTGGGCTCCTTCCAGGAAATATAAAACACGTAGCATATCATCACAGAATTATTTTTTAATTACATGATTTTATGGGGAAATCAATGAAGTGCTCAATAAGTGGTTGTGTTCATAAGATATTAGTCAATAATCAAAGACTTGTGCAAATTTTCTTTCATTTCCAAGCAAGAAACCTCACTAGTTATAAGGGAAAGTCAGTTTCAACAACAGAACACACTATATTTCCACTGCATATAGAAAGCAATACCAAAGTCTAATGCAGACATTGCCTGGATAGAGAAATGAGTGTACCATGTATGTAATCTCCATAATTCCTAGATATTGAGAAGTGGCATACTTACAATGCAGTAGCCCACTGCTACTTCATTTACTTATTACTTAGTTATTAGGATGGCTGGTTAGATTATGACCAATGACTATCTAGACAAAAGGATAGAATAGATCAGTGTCGTATGTATTTTTCCATTATGAAGGAACCAGAGGTTAATCTATGAACACTTGAAGCCCAACATGGAGCTAAATCTCTTTGACTCAGTGGAACGAAGAGGAAAATTCAACAAATATCATTTAAGGAAAATGCAGGCTGCTTACCATTGAGGGTTCAGATTTAAAAGACTTTAAAATGGATCTCGCAAGGGAACCTGCATGGCTTGACTAGCATTGTCTTACAAAAATCATCATATTAACTTTTTTCAATTAAACAATAAGAAATATAATAAAATATTGTGAAACCAAGATTACTATATATGTGATATAGCACTCACTGTTCAATTCGAGGAGAGAGATACAATTTGGGAAAAACCTGAGTAGCTTCTGTATCCTCAAAACTGACTGAAAGTAGAGCAACATCTTCTCCAGGATCTTCATTTGCATCCTAAAAACATAAAACAGAAAGAAAAAATAAAATAGATTTTGATAGCAATCTTAAGCTTGACCATGTGAAAGATTCTAAGGCCTGGTTGAAGAGGTTGGCAATCTGCTACTTTGGCCCTTTTAAAACTGGCTAGAAATAACTTGCTTGACACAGGAGTCTTAACAGAAGTATACTGCTAGCAAGAATTATTCTATATATTTTAGGTGCGTACAGTAGACATAAATTAAATGTCATTGCCATGAATTTGGCAGATGTCAAATTATTGCTAGCAGGCATGTCATGATATTCTTATGTAGAAAATACTGTTCTCCAAAGTCAAATCAGCTGTTAAAAAAACACCTAGCTAACTGGACAACAAGAAATGATTTTACAGTGCTGCATTAACTGCATTCCGATAATATTTTACCATGACAGTTTGTGACAATATCATGGAGGAAGTAATTGGTGCCCAATACTGGTCTAAGTGACCCTTGAAAATCTGGCACAATTTTTCAGTTCTGAGCACCATTACTTACTGTAAAAATGATAGAATAAAAAAGCAGTTATGTACAATTATAGAACCATATATCTTTCCAATGTAATTAACATCCTATAAATATTTTTTGGGAAAAATCATATAGCTCAGATTTGTTTCTTTGTTTAATAATAATAAATAAGGCACTGAACATATCCAACGCAACTTTTTCTTCCTATTTATAAGATTTTATATTGTATATTTCTTTCTGCATTTCATGGCTGAGTAAATAGACAGATCTAAGAGTGAGTATTCCAGTATAACCAGTAAGCTTCCATAGCTGAGGATTGATTTGCAGAACATTTTGCTGGTCATAATACAACTATTAAACCTTGCAAAGTATGTTGCAATACCATCTCAGCTCCATTCTCTGCTATCTCCAACCAGGAGGAGTGGGAAAGTTTTCTAAGATTTAAGTTGTTGCTTTGATAAATCAATTATTTGTTTTTCGATTATACAGTTTCCCCTGTTTAAACGTGATCTCTCTGATTCATTCCCTTAATTTAAGAACAAAATATGATCCAATAAGAATTACAAAATAGAATATAGGCCATATTATATTATTATATTGCTAGACTACATTGACAGTTTAGCTATGAAAGCCTTGGAAAAGATATTCAGATCCCGTGATGTGTCTATACCAACAAAGATCAGAACAATGCAAGCAATGGTATTCCCAGTGATACTCTATGGAAGTCAAAGGCGGACTTTGAAAAAAGGAGGGTAATATTGATATTGATGCTTGTGAACTTTGGTGTTAGAGAGGACTCTAGAGCATACCATGGACAAGCAAGAAAACAAAAGGAATAGATCATCAAACAAATCAAGCCAGAGTTCTCACTTGAGATACAAATAACCAAGCTCAAATTATCCTAGCTCAGACACATTATGTAAAGACCTAGCTCCTAAACAAGCCACAGAAGTCTGGTTTCCATGAAGACCTAATGGTTGTCCTAGTATTAACTTAAAAGTAAACAAACTATATTATGAGTTAATATTATGCATGAACAAACTAACCGTAAATTCAAGATGTAAATGAAATCCACTGATCCATTGACCTCTTCTCTCCTTTTTGTATTTTTTTTCTTTGTTATACATCTTTTCTATTATGCAAGCATTTTATATTTTGATCATTTTTCCTCTTTTAAACCATGTTGCATTGCTTAGGATCCTAATCAGAAGATTGGTTCCAGCTCAGGCATCTTCCAATACACCAAACAGGCCTTGCCATATCATGAGTTTGTAATTCTCCATAGCCACTTTTCTTCTGCTTCAGAGAAAATAAAACTGTTGCTTGTACACTTTTGACTTGTGTATCATCAGAAGTTCCTTTAGAATTATAATTAACTTGTGGATTATGATTAAAAGCTCCTATGTTCCAAAACAAAATTAAATGTTTATACCGCTATACACAGTAATTTTCATGAAAAATGAAATCTGTAGCTAAGCTAATTAAATCAGTGGTTTTCAGAATGTGGTTCCTCGGGAGGGACAGAGGCCACTTAGAAAAGGCCAGGCATTCTAAGGGGCAACCAGCCTGTCATTTTTTTTTCTTGTCATCAGAAGCTAAGCATTACAGCTACAACCAATTGCTATGTTAATCATAGATGTACAAAGAGAGGTTTCCAACCTACAACCAGTGTCTTCTATTTAAAATACAGCATCCAGGGAAGAAAGGGCATGAAATGATTAAGAACCGGTTCTGTTTCATCCACACTGAATTTGCTTGCTTTTGGTTCTTTTTTTTTTCTCTACCAGTAAAATTATTGGGAACAGAATTGGGACAAATTTCAAATACAGAAATGTTTTCTTGACTATGTAAACAAATTGTTAAAGAAGATGGAGGATTTTACTAACTAGAAATGACTTTACGAAACAGATAATTTCAGGATATCAGATAACCTATATGGTTATATGGTTTTAAAAGAAAATTAGAGAATTCATAGTGGAAACATGGGAAACTATCTTATGCTCGGCTTATCTAATTTAATACTGTGCATGCTTCTTAGAAATAATGTTCCATAGCTTAAGTTTGAAAATTTCCCCTCTTACCTAAAGATGCAAAGAACTGGAACTGAAACAATCTGCAACAAATGCAAAATATAATAATCTGCAAGAAATTCAGATATTTTACCACTGAGCTATACAAGTAGTCTTCTACTTATAAACACAGTTGGGCCAAAATTTTAAATGCTGAATGCAGCAAACTTTAAGCAAGACCCCATGTAGCCATTTCATCAGCAACCACAATTCCAGCTTTCCCAGTGTCAACGCTGCTAACATCGGATGTTCTTGCTTTGACAACAGATGAAAATGCAGCCATTTTCTCTATGCTTTTAGAATCAGTTGGTGCTGGGAGGGGGGATTGGGATGAGAGTTCAGTTAGACATAATAATAATAATTCTGCCGTGGGAATCCAAGGACAAACTGGGTCCAGAGCTGATAACATTTGGCGGGCTGGACAGCTGGGGAGAAAGCCCGCGCTTCAAGCTAATTGGGGAATGTGATTTATGACTGTTTATTGGGGGGGATTGTACTTTGTTACTTTGTATCCAGGGGAGGGGAATTTAGTTTTTGGTTTCAACTATGTAGTGCCGATACTTTCACCCGTCTTTCCCAAATAAAAGATTCTTTAAGGAAAACAATGCCTCGAAGTTCTTTTGAAGGGTTTCATCTGTTGGAACCATGACACCCAGTTTCAGTTGTTAGGTAATCTTGAGTCATTAAACAGAGCACTGGGGAAAGGCCTAGGCCTTTGGGGAATTGTGAAGCAGAGAAAGGGCTAGGGCCCTTTCTGCATCCCACTGGGGAGAAGAATCACAAGAAGGATGGTGTTTACTAAATTTGAGATCCATTTCTCTCGCGTGCAGGAGTCTTTCTCCTCCCTACACAGAAGGGAGACCAAATCCATTGGCATGCTGGGGGAATGGATCTCAAATCTAATATCCCCTTCCCTTGCAATTTTTTCTATTAGCTTCCCCACTGATTTTGGGGAGAAGCTGGCAGAAAAGATTGCAAATGGCAGCCATATGATTGCAGAGCACTTGGCAACTGGTCATACAAACAAGTTGCCAAGAGTCCAAAATGTGATCACATGATTAGGTGGAGGCCAAACTTAACCTATAGACCTCCTACCTTTTCGCCGCGCCCTCAAGACATGGCTTTTTCAACAAGCGGGTCTGGCCTAGGGAGAATTTTTAAATAGGGACAATTTTAATTTAAATCTTAATTAATTATACAGCGAAAAAAAAAATTTGGTTTTTAATAGGTTTTTATGGGGGGACGATGTTTTATGTGTTTTAATATGCTGTAAGCCGCCCTGAGTCCTATAGGGAGAAGGGCGGCATATAAATCCATGTAAATAAATAAAATAAATAAATAAATAAAAACAAAACAGTGATCCTGTCTGTTGAATGACCAATTAAGATATAAAGATTCAGCCTTTTTTAGAGGGATTGAACTTGTCTTAAAGACTACAATTAGGATTACTCTCATTTCCAGACTCAAGAGGTGAATCCTATATCCATGGATCAGACTAGATCAGATTGACACAAACTTTGTGTACATAAATGAGGCATCAGTGTAATGCACTCTTACCTGGGAATACCTTTTAAAAATAGTTTGAAACTTTAGCAGATCAAAAACACTGTTGCTAAATCTTGTTAAAATATCCATGGGTATAAATTCTTTTTGAGTGCAAATTGTAATAAATTTGGATATTATCTCATATGAATCTTTCCTTGTTTTAAGATTTGAGGGCAGTCCTGTTATTTACCACTAACCAAAAAGAAAAAAGAAAAAAATCTCCAAGTAGCTACCCTCAAGTTAAAAAAAAGCACCACTTACAAAGAGAAAGTAGGGTATTTCTCTCTTTATTATTTTTCTGCTATCATACAGAATGTTTACTGAAAGCAGCTTTTGCCACTATTTGGCTTCACTGATCCAGTTTTTAATCTGATGGATGCTACTATTTATTTTTCACTGGTTTGTATTCCATCAGTGTTAATATTTTAAATATAATTGAACTTGCATTTTGTTAATCTTTTTTGTTTCTATTTTTTGTGGGAACATGGATCATAATATAATTCACAATAATGTAATTTTTTGGCTTTAAAATTATTTGTAAACTGTCTCCAAAGCATTCAGAGAAAAATGGGCTACACATTTTTTACAATACTATATATATATTTAAAAGAACTCTTTAACTTATGCATTAACATTCACTAATTTCAATTTTATTTATTAGCATGATTTATATTGAGCAGCAGTTTTTATTCTTTCTATAGATGAAGGCCTCAGAATACTGTTTACATTTTTGATTAGCTAAATAAATGAACAATAGAGTGTCTTTTATAAAGAAGAATTCCTGGCAAGTATTGATTCCCAAACACATTTAAAACAGAAAGCATAAACACATTGTTATCTTGCATCCTACTACCTACTGTAACTAAGAACTGGGAACTTACTGGAACTGAGAATTTATTAT